ATAGCAGCGCCAGGCGGTGCATCGATGAGCTGCAATATTTCCGCATACTGGTGGAATCCCACCAACCCTTTGGGCGACAGGTGGTCTAAGGAGAATCTCTTTCCTCTTCCACAACCCCTTTTCCCTTCATGGATGGGAGCCCTGAAGTTTTTTTTGGGTGGCGTCGCGAGGTGTTGGAGGGCCAATTTTTGAGACCACTCACGAGGGTCGTGGCCCCCCAGGGGGGAGGGGGGGAGGGAAATCGAGGACCCACCCTCTTTTGACCGAGTGCATCCAAGATGGCACCAAGAGGCGCTTCAGGGCTCCCAGGAGGCTCCAAGAGGGCCCTATGAGCGCCCCAAAATATTCCAAGAGGCCTCCAAAAGGCACCCGAGAGGCATCGAAGAGGCCCCCGAGCGGCCTTTGAGAGCTCAAGATGACCTCCAAGATGGCTCGGATAGACCAAGCTGGCTCAAGATGGCTCGCACGAAAACCAACGTCTACGTAATTTGTAATGCTGTTATTTTCGGGAATTCCCGAATTTCCGGTGCCATCGATAAGTGGTGGGTTATGAAATTTCGCGGGTATTATTCGTATTTCGTGCGACTTCACAACCGGGACCCCAAGTTATGCAATGCGGCAAATCTGCGATATTATGATTATGGGCAAATCGCCGCCGCCCGAACTAATGTGCGCCCAGGTGATTCAGAAATTGAGAAAACCTTCGCCTTCTCTTTATCCCCCTCCGTCGTCCTCTTCCTCCTTTCGCGCTGCTTTGTGCGCATGCGCGTATCCGTACGTCAATCGTGCTTCTCGCGATACGTGGTCTTGAAGGCATGTGGGCATGTATATGGGCTGTGCGTTCCGCCGTTTCCCCCCACTTTCTGTTCCTACAATTTCGATCGCGTGTGCACGCATTGGAAAGTGTGATATTACGATCCTCTTCACATGAATTTTCGGGTTGGTTTCCCCCGATAATATGTCCATCAGAGAACTGGGGTTACATGAGCCGTTCTGCCAGAAGGTTGGAGCCAAATTCTTGAAGCTGGGCTCAATTCTTGAAAGGCAGACTTTTCAGTAACGGGCAAGCGTCTCAATAATCGAAACATCGTTTCAATAACAACTGGGACCGTTTCAATATTATAGAGAAATGTACCAATAACCGGGTCCACCCGATCCCCCAACATAGCACATTGTTCCAATAACCAAGCCCACCCGTATTGTTTCAATAACCTGGCCCACCCGCTTCAATTACCAAGCAATTGTTTCAATATCTTGGCCCACCCGTTTCAAAATCAGGGAAATTGATTCAATAACCAAACCCACCCGTCTCATGAACAACAAAAATGATTTCAGTAGCCGGGCCCACCCGCTTCAGCATTAGAAAATGTTCCAAGAACGGTCGTCGTCGTCGTCGTCGTCGTCGTCGTCGCCGTCCTCGTCCTCGTCGTCGTCGTCGTCGTCGTCGTCGCTGCCCGACGGCGCCGGCGCCTGCGCCGGCGCTCGCCCTCGTCGGTTGCCACTGGGGAAGGTCGCCCCCCCCCCCGCCTACCCCTCCTCCCTCCTCCTTCCTCCCTCCTCCCTCCTCCTCCTCCTCCTCCTCCTCCTCCTCCTCCTCCTCCTCTTCCTTCCCCTCCTCCTCCTCCGCCGCCTCCTCGTCCTCCTCCTCCTCCTCCTCCTCCTCCGCCGCCTCCTCCTTGTTCGAACACCCCCCCCCTTGCAATTCAGGGGTGGCCCTCCCCCCCGAATCGCCCCGACCCAGCCCCTTGACTCCCTCTCCCTTGAAGGGGGTGGCGGGTTCGAACCCTCCCTTGCAATTCAGGGGGGTGGGGTTCGAACTTCCCCCCCCCCCGTCCCAACGTGCACAGAACGCGCTCTTTCAAATATAATGTCAGCCAATGCGTGTGCATTTCGACGTTTTTCCCTCTAGGCAACTACGGGACAGCACGCGGGGCAACCGTGGGATGGGACAACCAATGGACAGCCCACAGAACCATCTACGCAATGACCACGTGAGAACCACGGGACAACCATGGGATAACCAAGGGACAACCACGGCACAACCCCGCGCCCCCCGCGAGACGCGGCACATGACGTGCTGGTCCGAATTGGCCCCAGCGTTGGCCGACGTCATCACCCTCGCGTTACGTCGGGCGTGTCCCCCTGCAGGCGGCTTCTGGACGAACCATAAGAAATACTCAAACACTGCGCAACAATAGCCCAAAATAGCAGAAACATCGTCCCCTGCTTATTTTTTGACCACTTTTGAATATCTCCCTGTGGAGGGACAGGCCCGACGTAACCCTCGCGCAGCCTTGCTTCGCTCAGGCCGCACGCGGGACCCGGGCCCGGACGCTCGGCTGTCCCGGTTGGGGCCGCCCCCTGCTCGCCACCTCGACTTCCGACGGGCACCCATCGACGAACGCTTCGAGGAGGCGCGCCAAGAACTGGCTCCTCCTCCTCCATCTCCTCCTCCTCCTCCTCCTCCATCTCCTCCTCCTCCTCCTCCTCCTCCTCCTCCTCCTCCTCCTCCTCCTCCTCCTCCTCCTCCCCCTCCCCCTTCTCCTCCTCCTCCTCCTCCTCCTTCTTCTCCTCGTCCTCCTCCTCCTCCTCCTCCTCGCCAGGAACAACCGCCCGAGATTGCCAGGTCAGATCGACGGGGACATCCTCGGCTCTCGGGGTCCCCGGAGCTCTCCCCCCGGTGATGAGGAGGTCTGGGGGGGACGGGTTCCACTTTCGGATCGGTGATAACGGTCGCGACGAGCATCGGATCTCTCTCATTGCCTTACTGCCTCTATAGATGTATACACATGTATGCGTGGCTCTCCCTCTCTATCGGTCTCACTAGCTATCCGTCGGCCCCTGTTTTCAAAATATTGACCGACATATACGTTTGCCACGGGGTAGCCACGGGGCAATCCACAGGGCAACCGCCAACGCCCATAGGACAACCACAGGAAAACCACACGATAATCGTGGCTAACAAGGCTGGGATCTCTTTCGCCCTCGACCAGCTTCGCCTCGCCCGCACGTGCGTCACGCACGAAACGAATCGAGGCTGACACCGAATTTCTGGTTTGGGGACTCCGCTTCACTTGCATTTCACCCCCCAACAGCCCACACTCTGCATGAACGCTTGCTTTTTTGGGCTGCCGCATAGCATATTGGTCAAATCCACAAAGCGGGTACCTAATGTATGGGACAATGAAACCCCCACGCTCTGCGAATAAACGAAGCACAGAATTTATCGGTCACACGTTTCAAGGCTTCCATTTGCCAGCCGAACTTGCCAGGTTAACTTTGCCTGCTGAAGCTGCCGAAGCGACCTAGCTGCCGAAATAACTGATATGTGGTGCTTGCAGTATTGACCAGACCTGCCTACCTCGAACAACCTTGAGGCAAGGTTTACTGCGTGGCGCGGCCGGAACTGGAACATATTAAGGACACAGCGCTTTGAAGCCAAACGGCGCGAGTGACAAGAACGTAGCTCATGGGTACTGCTTGGGAGTGCAGGATCGGAGGGTCAAAGCGATCGAAAACGGCTGAGGACAAGTCACCAGAAACGAAAAAACCGGAGGCAACACCAAGCACGAACACAATATCATGGCAGAAGGGACAGGAACAAGCGTACCGGCCCCGTAGTTGCAGCCAGCAAGTTTCATCATTGCCAGATTGGTTGAAGGGGCCCCAGGACACACAAATAAATACACACAAATAACAAAACCTATATTTTCTCATATGTTCTGGGTTTTTGTCTTCCCCCCACTTCCCATGTTTTCCAATATTTTCCTGGAAGTCGACGATTAATTGCGTCTGTGTGTTTTTTCTCCCCTCCTGATTGGTGCATTTTGAAAGGTGTGTGAGCTTCGGAGGCGAGCCTCCCGCTCTGGCCGCGTCCAGGACACGCCTTCGGAACAGCAGAAGGCGTGCATACCCGCTGAGGAGGAGGAGGAGGAGGAGGAGGAGGAGGAGGAGGAGGAGGAGGAGGGGGAGGAGGAGGAGGAGGAGGAAGAGAGATGAGGAGGAGGAGGAGGAGGAAGAGGAGGAGGATCTCGAGGAGGAGGTGCAGGAGGAGGAGGAGGAGGGGAGGAGGAGGAGGAGGAGGAGGAGGAGGAGGATGAGGAGGAGGAGGAGGAGGAGGAGGAGGAGGATGGAGGAGGAGGAGCCTTGTGGGTGCCCTCCCCCGCTCGCGGGCCCCAGGTGCGCACCCGCAGCTGCCCCGCCGCCGTCCTCACGAGCGGCGCCGCCCCGCACGCGCGCGAGGGCCGCAGCCCCCCGAGGGGCCCGCGAGACTTCGCCCCTCCGTCGGGCTCGCGGCGCCCTCTGAGCCACCGGAGGGCTGCATGGGCCTTCCGCACACGCGCACTACAGTCGAGGCGTTGACCTAAGGACCCCTACAGTAAATAAGGAACGAGGCCCCTTTTTTCCCATAAATTGAACGTCGATTTCCCATGGAAATTCTCAGGAAAACCCTAGGCAAACTGTAACACAATCAAGGAACACCAAGCCCCTCCCCATCGAAAAAGGTTCCTTCCTCAGCGCCCCGACTGTACCCCCAGTGATCCTTCGGCGCAGGAGGTCTCGTGAGGGGCTCCAGACTGCCGTGCGAACGGCGCTGGTACAGGCACGATGCTGAGCCAGAAGCCCGACGAAGAGCGAGCAGAGGCAGGCGGGCCACGAAGATCCCGCCCCGACGCGCCCACCAGCAGGAGGACGGCTCTGTAAGGGCAGCCCCCCCCCCTGCAGGGCCTTCCGCTGGCTTCCGCCGGCGAGGCTGCCTCATCTCGGCGGTGGAAGTCTGGGGCCATGGGCGGCCAGGCCCGAAGGACGAGGGGCCTCAAACAATGCAAGGTCAGCCTGGGAACCCTCTCTTACCCTGCGTGGCCCCACCTTTGAGCCGCCGGTTTGTCCCTCTCCGCCCAGGGATGACGCTTTTTGTGCAGCGACACGTGCGGCATCCCACGGCCTCGCCAGACGGGACGCACGCCCTTTACGCCTCGGAGGCGGCTGCGAAGCCGGCGTCAGGCCGCGAAAGGTCGGCTGCAGCGCCGGAGCGTGCCCGAGACGGCGGTAGCGAGCTTCCCGGACTGCTCGCCTGTGCAGACCGCCAGAAATGCAACAATTACTGCTTTTGCTACTGCATTCGTGCATGTGCACGACCCCAGGATCAAGTGGGCAGCGACGACGCGCACGCATAAAGACACGCACGCGCACACGCACGCGCACACGCACACGTGCACGCAAACTCAAACGCACACACACATACATACACAGATGCGCAAACACACACACACACACGCACGCACGCAAGCACGCACGCACGCACGCACGCACACACAGACACGCACGCATACACAACACGCACAACACTTGAACAAACACACAAAACGTACAACACACACACACGCACACGACACACACACGACACGCAACACACAACACGCAACAGTCATACACACACGCACACGCACACGCACACGCAAACGCGCACACAAGCAGACAAACGCACAAGCTCACAAACACACAAACACAGAACCACACAAACACGCACAAACACGCAAACACTCAAAACACAAACACACAAACACAGAACACACATAACACACATAAACACAGAAACACACACAAGCACACACACAAAAACACAAACACACAAAAACACAAACACACACATACGCAGACACACAAACACACGAACACACAAGTACACAAACACAGAACACACACAGAACACACACATACATAAACACACAAACGCACGAACACACGAACGCACGAACACGCAAGCACACACAAACAAACGAACACACGAACACACAAACACACACAACCACGCAACACACAAACACTCACGCCCACCCACCCACCCACAAAGACACACGCAAACACACACCAACCCACCCATCCACCAACCCACCCACCCACCAACCCACCCACCCATTCATCCTCCCACCCACCCACCCACCGACGCATCCGCACACCCACCCACTAACCCACCGACCCGCCCGCCCATGCACGCACCCGCACACCCATGTGCGCGCGCACCCGCGCACACACACCCACACACACACACACACCGCATACACCACACACCACACACACACACGCACTCACAGGTACAACACACACACACGCACGACACACAACACACAGCACACACGCACACAACACGCACAGGCACACACGCAAACACACACAAACACACACACAACCACACACGCACAGGCACAAACGCAAACCCACATGCAAACGCACAAGCACACGCAAACGCAAACTCAAGCGCAAACGCAACCGCACACACAAACGCAAACGCAAACGAACACGCAAACGCACACGCAAACGCAAACGCAAACGCGAACGCAAACGCGAACGTGTCCGCGTCAGCAAATACAAACACAAACACAAACACAACCTCATTCACAAACGCAAACACAAACCCACACGCGAACGCAAACGAAAACGCAAACGCAAATGCAACCGCAAACGCAAACCCACATGCAAACGCACAAGCACACGCAAACGCAAACTCAAGCGCAAACGCAACCGCACACACAAACGCAAACGCAAACGAACACGCAAACGCACACGCAAACGCAAACGCAAACGCGAACGCAAACGCGAACGTGTCCGCGTCAGCAAATACAAACACAAACACAAACACAACCTCACGCACAAACGCAAACACAAACCCACACGCGAACGCAAACGAAAACGCAAACGCAAATGCAACCGCAAACGCAAACCCACATGCAAACGCACAAGCACACGCAAACGCAAACTCAAACGCAAACGCAACCGCACACACACACGAACACGCAAACGCACACGCAAACGCACACGCAAACGCAAACGCAAACGCGAACGTGTCCGCGACAGCAAATACAAACATAAACACAAACACGCAAACACCAACACAAACACAACCACAAACCACAACCAAAAACACAAACGCAACGACAACCACAACCAAAACCACAAACATAAATACAACCACAAGCACAGGCACAATCACACATACATACACAACTACAAACAAAAACACAAGCACAACCACAAACACACACAACCACAACCACAACCACAACCACAATCACAACCACGACCACAACAACAACCACAACCACAAACACAACCACAAACACACACAACCACAAACGCAAACGCAAACGCAAACGCAAACACAAACGCAAACACACAAACGCAAACGCAAACGCATACATAAACACAAACAGCAAAAACAAGCACAAACACAAGCACAATCACAAGCACAAACACAACCAGAATCACAGACACAAACACAAAAACAAACACAAACACAAACAACAACACAAACACAAACACGGACAAAACACAAACACAAACACAAACACAAACGCACACGCAATCGCAAACGCAAGTACAAAAGCAAACGAGGATGCAAACGCAAACGCAAAAGCGAACACAAACACAAACAACAACACACGCACACGCACAACCACAAACCTAACCGCAGACACAAGTACAAACTCCAACACACACAAGCACAAACACAACCACAACGCAAAGACATACATAAACACATACGCAAACGCAAACACACACATAAGCACAACCGCAAGCACGAACACAAACACAACACACAACACACAAACACAACACAAGCACAAACACAAACCCAAAACCAAACACAAACACAAACACAAACACAAACGCAAACACAAACACAAACACACGAACAAACACAATCACAACCACAACCACAACACACAAGCACAAGCACGAGCACAAGCGCAAACACCACCACACACGCACACACAAACACAATCACGCACGCAATCGCAAACGCAAACACACACAAACGCAAGCACAAGCACAACCACAAACACACACAAACGTAACGCAACACACAAACACAAACGCAAACGCACATACAAACGCAAACACCAACACCAACACCAACACAAACACAAACACACGAACACAAGCACACGAACACAAGCACAAGCACAAGCACAAGCACAAGCACAAGCACAAACACAAACAAATACACACCCACACCTACCCACATACACACCCCCACACACACGCACGCACACATCTGCACACGGACCTCCAAAAGTCTGTGCGCAGTCCGATGTCCCATCTTCGAGCACATTCTTCCTCCTCCTTCTCCTCCTCCCCCCGTTCTGCCGCTTACTCTTCCTCCCCCCACTTGGGGGTGGGCTTGCTTTGCCCGTGCCTCGCTTTGCCCGCGCCTCGCCCAGCCCACCTCTCTTTCCCCGCCCGGCTCGGCTCGATCGATCAGATGAAATTCAACCGTTCCGATCCGGTCTCGCTTCGTCTCGATCCGCTCCGCGTCGACGAGGCTCGGCCTGACATTGCTTGCCTCGTTTCGCGTTCGGATCTGGCTCGTTTCGTCGTTGTGGGCCCCGGCGCGCATGGGTGGGCGGGGTAATGTGGCAAGGATCATGAAAAACCTTTCGGACCAAGGCCATCAAATCATTGAGCGGCCCAGGTTTCTGTCCACGGAGGAGGAGGAGGAGGAGGAGGAGGAGGAGGAGGAAGAGGAGGAGGAACGGGAGGAGGAGGAGGAGGAGGAGGAGGAGGAGGCGGAGGAGGAGGAGGAGGAGGAGGAGGAGGAGGAGGAGGAGGCACGTGTCTCCACATCGCGCGAATAGAAGAAAGCGGCGGAACTGAGCGAAACTGAAGCGCCGCAGCCGCCGCGGCCACCGCCACGGCCGGAGGAGGAGGAGGAGGAGGGGGAGGAGGAGGAGGAGGAGGAGGAGGAGGAGGAGGAGGGAGGAGGAGGGAGGGGAGGAGGAGGGGAGGAGGAGGAGGAGGAGGAGGAGAGGAGGGGGAGGAGAGGAGGAGGAGGAGGAGGAGGAGGGGGAGGGGGAGGGGGAGCCGCAGCAGTGGCTGACACCACCCCTGGGCCCTGGGGGAGCTCGGCTGTCCCGCGCGCGCGCGGCGCCCGCCCGAGGGCGCCCTCTCGCGCCCGCAGGGGCCACCTGTGCCCGCCTGCGGGGGCCCAACCGCCCGCTTTGGGGCAACGTGATTTGCGCGCCAGAGAAGCCAGCCGCCCACCCTGTCGCCAGGACATCAGCGGCCATGTTGAAACGCCGGAAACATTTTTCCAGTCCGTCTGAAGAGCTGACAAGATCTGCAGATGACGTCGAAGATGGGCTTGCACAACTGGGACTTATCCTCGCCCATGCCGGCCGAGTCGTGGAAGTGTGTCGAAATCATCGCAGATCCATTGCGCACGCCCCAATGGACATTCGCCGCTGTGGCACGGCCCTGGGGCCAAGTCCATGTCAGAAGAGGGCGGAGCCGTGACCAAGATACGCGTCTTGGTGATCACAGCCGCGCCGCCAATGGTCCCGCGGTGCACGGTGGGCTGCGCAGGACTCAAAATCTTGTGATAACTGAGGTCTCGCGCCTCCTTCAGCAAGGACTCTAAATTGTCGCCTGCCCCGTGGTGCTGCTAAATGGCGGGCGCCGCGCTATCCGACCTCGACGCGAGGTGCTCGATCATCGGGCCCCCTCTCGAAACATTAAGCGTACCTGTAGTGGCGAGACATCTGAACGTGTCAACGGTCCTGTCCTGCCCAACGCCTGCTGGTACTGGGGTATGCCGTGGCTGTGGTCGCACTGCGACCGACGAAATCATTGTGGCGGTTGGGGGCACGTCCGGCGGGGATGGTGATCCTCCCATCCCCTGCAGCTGCTGTTCGCCAGGATTTGGTAAGTAACCTAAGGCCTCGATGTCGGGGCCGCGCTGGGGGAGACCAGAGGGCCTCGCTGTCGGGGGCCACGTCCTGGAATATGCAACGCCGCCGCTGAAACAAACGATGGCGGCAAAGCCAAAGGGTCCATCATGGAGCCGAGGAGGAAGAGACTAACAACAAACATCATCAGCTTAACACGGGCTGAAGAGGGTCTCCAGCGCGTCGCGAATCTTCTTCACAAGGTCGCGCATCTCGTTCTCCTGCTCTGGCAGCGTGACGTCCAAAGTACTAAGGTTGGAGCGTCACTCAGAAACGTCGACCAAGTCGAGGTCCCGTTCCTCCTGCGAAGAGACACGGGCCTTCTTCGACGGAGCCTCTGTCCTTTCCGTAGCACTGCGAGTAGACTTGCCAGCGTGAACCGAGTTTCGGGGGGAGCGGGATTGCCTGCACTGTAGCCACAAGCTTTTGCCCAGCTTTCGCAGCAGGCAACAATATCTCCAACACAACAAAAATATCTTGCCGCCAGCGTCAGCAGCAGCATGTGACCTGGTTCGGGTGGAGCTGCCACCTGCTGGCCCAGCTCACGCAGCTGCGCCTCCAGCTCGATCGTGACCTTCTGCTGTGTACCCAAAACTTGCTCACGCTCCGTCAACGCCTCCTGAAGCTTCGCGAAGTGGTCCCGCTTATCCTGCATCGCCTTCTCCGCCTTGCCCACTTTGCCCTTCTCGATGCCAAGCTTGGTCTAGAGCTGCCGAAACAATTGAAGAAGGGGCTGCTTGGAGCGACGTTGGGCATGCCGGCCTTGCCCACGCAGAGCGCACGCGCGCTCTCCAACATGCCCCTCTTCTCCAGGATGGCCTCGCCCTCGTCGGAGGCGCTGGCGGCCGAACCCTTGGAGTCCAGCTCGATGTTGGGAGCAAGGCTTGGGGCGCCACTGGCCCGAGCCTGCCGAAGAAGCTCCGCAACCTCCATCTGCAGTCGAGCGATCTCCTAGGCAACGGGGTCCAGGCCGCGTGTCGCTCGTGTGCTGCGGGCGGATGGGCACGCGGGAGCCGCGCTGCGCAGGAAGGAGGACTCCTTGTGCGTGCCGCCACAACAGGGGCCAGCCACGCCCACCGCAGTACACCTTCCACCCAGCATTGGCCCGTGGATCTCGGCTGCGAGTACTGCAGGAACGGCACAACGCAGCATCCTCATCACCATGTTTGAGCCCACTCTGGCGCCGCGGCAGGGGAGTGCGGATGTACAGTCGGGTCGCTGACCAAAGGAATTCTAAGTAAGGAGCGAAGCCCTTTTCTTCCATACTTTGCTTTCTCATCGAAAATCTCAGGCCAACCTAAAACAAACTGCGAAACAATTCAGGAACACGGAACCCCTCCCCAACGAAGATCGTTCTTTCTTCAGCGCTCCGACTGTAGGTGGGGTCGTACCGTGGAGCGTGCTCACCCCAAGCCTGGGAAGGCGATTGGGGGTGAACACTTCCTGCGACAGCTGGGGAATTCACGGGGGCCTCGAGCCGCTCTTTTTTGGTTGCGAATCGCGCATCACGCTCCAGTGTCGGGAGCCACGTTGGAACTTGAGCCGAAAAGGCTACGGAGGAAGAGGAGGAGGAGGAGGAGGAGGAGGAGGAGGAGGAGGAGGAGGAGGAGGAGGAGGAGGAGAAAGAGAGGAGGAGGAGGAGGAGGGGAGGGGGGGGAGGGAGAGGGAGGAGGGAGGAAGGAAGAGGAGGAGGAGGAGGAGGAGGAGGAGGAGAGGAGGAGAGGAGGAGGAGGAGGAGGAGGAGGAGGAGGAGGAGGAGGAGGAGGAGGAGGAGGAGGAGGAGGAGCAGCAGGAGGAGGCCGAAGAAGAGGATCTCGTGCCGCTCCGCTGGCCCTGGCCCTTCCCCCGGCAACGCGCCCAGGCGGCCCTGGGCGAGCGCGAATTCCGGGGCGCGGCCTGCCGATCCACGGCTGCATGCGCTGCGGCAGTCGCGGCCTGCGCGCTTCGGCTTGCATCGGGGCAGGGCGAGTGGAGACAACGGCAGCCCAAAATCGGTCCCCGAACCCATCTCCTGCTCCTGCTCCTGCTCCTGCTCCTGCTCCTCCTCTCCCCACCTTGCTCCCATCCTCTTGCTCCTCCTCTACCTCCTCCTCCTCCTCCTGCTCCTCCTCACCCTCGTTTTCATCTTCGTCGTCATCAGGGTCGGCGGCACCGGCCGTAAGGCCTTCGCAATCGGTCCCCAAACCCATCCTGGGGCCCAAACGCACCAGCTTTCCGAGCTGCGTCCGACCCTGGCGACGAGGGCCCCCCCCGAAGGCCGGCTGCCGCTGCCTCAGCCCGCCCTCCTCGGATTGACTCCCCGCGCCGCTCGAGCACCGCGCGCCCAAGGTCACTCGGGGGAAGGCCCACTCTTGCATGTGGCTGGCCCCCCCCTTGCGTCCCAGGGCCCCGGCTGGGCCTCGCGGGGTGGTCTGCTCCGTGGGCGCGGCCGCCTCGGCCTTCCAGCACACGGTGGCGAACGAGTGCGCCTGGCGCCCCCCCCCCCCCCGACGGAGGAGCGTCCGTGACGGGACGCCCGCTGGTGCAGGACGGCGACGGGCGAGCAGTCAGAGTGAGTGGGGCCGAGCGGTCTTTTGCCTGTGTGGGAGATCGGATTTTTTTTTGTTCAAGCGCCGTGGCCTGTCGGCGACCAAACGGGCGATCCTCGAACAGAGGGGGACCGTTGGGGGGGGGGCCTGCTCAGGGTGGGGGCATCGAGCTGGCATCGGCGACGCATCGCCGATGGGCTCTCGGCGCCGAATCCGCGCGCTCCTGGGCGGGGTGGGCTGCCAGGCCCCAGTCGGCGATCAAATGGCGATTGGGGACCGATGCGTGCCCCCTGGAGCCTATACCTCCCAGCGTCGCCCCCGAACTTTCGGGCCACAACCTCGGCCCTCTGCCGGCCAGTCGGGACGAGCCAGGCCCCCCGCGAACGCTCTCGGCGAGGCGCAGCCGTTGGGAGGCGTCCCGAGACTGGCAAGCTGCCGAGGACTGACGGATATGCCCAGGAACTTGGACCTCGGAGCCTTCCGTCCTCTCGAACACTTTCCTTCCCCCCCGAGCATTGCCCCTACGGAGCTGCGGGCGTGCTCCCGCACGCCGGTTCGGAACAGAGGAGAGGCGTGGCAATGTGCGTCCCCTGCCTCTCCAGACCGATGGTGCCGAAGAGGCCGCGACCCCAAAAGGGCCCCCAGGACATCAAACACCTTCCCGTCGTCCTCGTCCTCGTCCTCGTCCTCGTCCTCGTCCTCCTCACTCCCACCGTCGTCGTCGCCCACTTCATCCTCTTCCTCCGTCGCCCTCATTCTCTGGGGGTCGGTGGAATGGCGCAAGCCTCTCGAGTAGAGGAGGCGCGGCAGGGGGCGCCTTGGCCTCTCACGGCCAAAGGTCTCGAGGAAGCTTCGCTCTTACTTCCGCCAGCTCCCGCAAGGCTTCAGCTGACCCTGAGATCCTGGCGCTGCGTCTGCACTGGAAACGAGGGCGCTCACGCGCGACCTTGCGCGGGCAGCCTGCGCGCGGGTGTCCGTGCAGACGAGCCGCTCACATGGAAGTGAACAGACGTGAGCACAATACCCAGCGGTGCGAGGCCAGGAGGCGAGGGACTGCTCGAGCCAACGCGGCCGCACGCTATGAGGCTGAGCACGATGGGGAAGGGCCAACCGTACCCCCCATGACGACGTTCCCCCGGTGAGGTGTCGCAGCGGCCACGGTTCCAGCCACGGTGGGCGCCAAAACGCAGCCGTTGGGCGCCCCGAGGTACGTCTGGCCTCCCCTGACAGGAGGAAGCGGAGGTAGGGCAGGAGCGGGGAATGAGGTCGGGGAGGGTAGGGGGCTAGGGACGCAGAACACGGCATTGAGTATAGACTTTCGGAGGTCCGCGCAGATTTCTTGGACCCGCGCTGAACACCCCCTCCCTAGCGTGCGGAGCGCGCCAGGGGGCGGAGCCAGAGGCGCCGCCAAGGGGGTGCCAGTGAATCCACGTGGCGCTCCGAAAGTTTATATTTCTACCGCTCTCCTCGAAGGAGAGGACGAGCGGGGGAAGGAGGCCGAGGAGGAGGAGGAGGAGGAGGAGGAGGAGGAGGAGGAGGAGGAGGAGGAGGAGGAGGAGGAGTGGAGTGAGCAGAGCCTGGGAGGGGGGACGATGAGAAGGACTCAAGAAGGGGAGGATTCTTCCTATCTTGACCCCCTGGCTTTCAGAACCCCCTGATGCCCAGCAGTAAGGCCGCGCCCGAGGCCCAGCAGTTTGGCACAGCGACCTGGCTGCTGCCCTCCGGCAGCTCCGGAGGGGCCGGAACCCACAGGAGAAAAAGCACCTCGCTCTCGCCACCGCTCGGACGTCCCCTCCCCCGTGCACTGCTCGCCTGCGCGCGGGCTCCGCGAGGGCCCTCGCCGAACAAAAAAGCCGCACACGTCCGAGCGATGCCACGAGGAGGAGGAGGAGGAGGAGGAGGAGGAGGAGGAGGGGGAGGAGGAGGAGGAGGAGAGGAGGGGAGAGGAGGAGGAGGAGGAGGAGGAGCAGCGGTCGGCCCGCCGCGGGCCGCGAGCGGGCCTGGCCCCCCGCCCCGCCGGGAGCTGGAGCCGCAGCGTGCCCCGGCGGGGTGCGAGCAGGGCCACGTCGCACGGGGCCGCCGCGCGGTTGAGCAGCACCACCTCTTTGGGTCGGGGATGGACAGACCTCCCTTTGGTCAAACGTGGCTCCGTGAAAGCGACCTCGGGCCCAAGCCTGGCACGCGCAGGCCTGGAAGGTAGCGGCCGCGGCGCTCCCTCGAGGACCGAAGCCGGAGAATTCACTCATCGACGTGTCAGGGTAGGAGGCAGAGGACTCCTGGATGGGGTCGGAGCAGGTGGGGTCGGAGGATCGCGACGTATCGCCGATGCATCGGCGATGCATCGGCGATGCACTGGCGATGCATCGTCGACGTCGGCGATGCATCGGCGACGTTGACGTGAAGCAAAGCGGGCTGCACGTCGAGCCGCATCGGCGATGCATCAGCGATGCGGCGCGATCCTCCGACCCCATCTACTCCGACCCCATCTAGGAGGCTTAGAGGAGGTCTATCCACCTCCGATTGGGCGTGGAGGAGACGGGTCCCGAGGGAAGCGGGCCCTGGACACCGGGGGGGGGCTGCCCTGAAGGGGCCCAGGGGCACACTCGCACGGATCTATTTTGCATCGCGAGCGCCAGCGGAAGTGCCGCGCGCCGGCCAGAGCCACAGCTGCCAAGCCGGAGCCCAAACTGCACACACGAGAGAGAGAGAGAGAGAAACACAAATGGATACGCGCAGATCCCAGGATT